ATTAGTCACCTGCAGAATTCACCATTTATATAGTTCCTAATAAGGTTTGGAAAAGGTTATGCCTTGGCCCTTGGACATTACAAAGGTCCTTGCTTAGGGGCCAAAAAACCCTGCCATCAATTTCAGACTGCCAAGTTTAAACTATTTCTCTCTATTTATAATACATATAAACCCTAGAACCTGCCGATGATACTGACTGATGAGCATGAGGAACTAATGATTGCGTTTATTTTCTGTTATGGACGCAATCGACCCTTACATAAGGGAAAATGGTAAAATTTTATATCTACCCCACCACTTTCAGTTGTTATTTGAAATGAACCCTTGTACTTTTTTTAAAAGTAAATTTTTTGCATACCTTTTTCATTTAGATAGGTAACAACCATATCAGTACTTAGCTAACGAGAGGACCAAAAAAATATAATTTGTAAGGTTACTGAGGATTGGTGCAGACAAGCATGCTAGAGTGATTGCTTTTGCCCTCTTGCAGTCGTTAGACCTATTGACGGCAGCTGCAGGAAGAAGAAATTTCCTATTTCCAATGGGAGAATTGATACTGATTTTGTAGGAAAATCATTTGTCAAGATAAGGAAAGACTATTCTACATCGACACCTTCTGATGAAGGTCCAGGCAAGGGCTCAAAGAAAAAGAATAAGTCAACTTTGAATCTTGTTCTAACTATGCTCTTAAGCAGCTCAGCATTTTTGAACCTTTCTCTGTTGATGTGCAATCAATCTAGTACATATACTCAGCAGCCAAATTACATTTTAACAATCAATTTGAGAAATTAAAGATCAGATAAATTAATGTATTTGATCTTCTTCTTTTTCTTTTCTTTTTTCTTACTTTGTTTTTTTTTTTTTATGCAATATCTTATGCTCTTATTACTCTTCTGCAGAATTCACCATTTTTATAGTTCCTAGTAAGGTTTGGAAGAGGTTATACTTTGGCCCTTGGACATTAGGAAGGTCCTTTCTTAGGGGCCAAAAATCCCCTGCCATCATTTTCAAACTCCAATTTTGAACTATTTCTCTCTATTTCCCTCAAGTAACAGTCTCAATTTATGTCTCCCTTTTACAATTGTCGAAGCCCCAATTTATAATATATATAAACTCTAGAACTTGCATGATGATACTGACTGATGAGCATGAGGCAATGATTGCATTTAGTTTCTGTTGTTGACATAATCCACACTTACATAAGGAAAAAGGATAAAAATTGTATATTTACCTCTTTGTTTCTAGTTCTTATTAAAATTAATTATCATAAGTTTTTTTAATTAAAAATTTCTCATACTTTCTTCCCACATCAGCACTTGGTATGTATAATTTAAGGGGAGGGAGAGGAAAGGAAAGAAAAGAAAAAGGGAAGATTTTTTTGATTAATTAAATTGTAATATTTAAAAACATTATAATTAAAACTTTACAATAAAAATACTATTAATGACCGAAAGAACAAAAAATTATAATTTGTAAAGTTGAGGGAGCGAAGTGACGAAAATAATTTAGGAACCAAAAGCATTTAACCATTTTTGGAGTGAACAACATGAAGAAAATCGACGAGATGGAAGATTTTTCTTTTCAAGGCTTTTGTGCTGCACAATTAGAAATATCATTTTTCAAATTGCAGGCGATCTAAATTGTGAAAATATTTAAATGTTCTAATTAAATAAAATTTATTAGTGTTTTAGTATTTTTACATTCAAACTATATATATATATATGTTTTTTTTAAGGATTAGTGCTTCTCTACTTTTTTTTCAAAAAATTAAGAGAAAAAAAAGATAAAAATCACCTTAATGCATACTTTAAAAATAAAGTAGTTTAATATTTTTTAATAAAAATTTATTGAAATGATGTAATTTTAAAATAAT